CGAAGTCCGGGAACTTCTGCAGGACCACCGCCGGCGAGACCCCCTCCCTCTGCTTGTGAAGCTTTTTCTTGAGCTTCGTCACCCGATCGTAAAACTCGGCGTGATCTGTGGCCGGCATGCCGGCCGCAACGGCAGCAGCGATGATTCGGCCGACCGTGTCTTCGGTGGGCCAGAGCAACCCGATCTTGACCAGGCGGGTCACAAGCACATCGACTTTATCTGCGATAGTGATGGCCGGGTCGCCCAGCACCCGACGGTCTCCAGCACTGAGAAAGTTGTGAAAGGACGGGGCGGCCTGGTTGTCCTTCTTGGACTTGGGGCTGGCAGTGCTCCTGTCCAAGGCTTCGGAGAGCTGCTTTGACAGGCTTTCCTTAGCACTGTCCGGGAAGGGCAGCTTGCCGATACCCTGCGACAGCTTGGAGGCTTCGACCATGGTCACCTTTGGCAAGTTTGCCAAACGAGTCTTCAACGACAAGAACTGGCTGTTAACCATCTCCTCGTACACCGTCTCGGAGACGTTGTTCCTCTGCTCTCCCAAGAAATTCCCCAAGTTGCTCATGTCCAAGAGCAACTGATCGGCCGACGACATGTTCGGAATCAGGCAAAAGGCACAGATTTCTTGCTAGATCACGGTTTGTTGCTCGCGAGCAAAGCCCTGCGAACAAGTAGATGCGAGCACAGCCCTGCATCCACAACTTGCTGTCTGCTTCAGGAATGCATGCTGCTTCCCGAGAACCCTGCCATCCTGCATGCCACTTCCCCGACAACCCTGCCTTCCTGCATTCTGCCACAACACAAGCTGCAACCTCAATCTCCTATACCTGAGACATACCAGAAGGGCTCCACAACAAGCACAGCGGGACACAGCACGACAGAACCAGTCACTGAGTTTGGATCTACTACTCAGGAGCAAAAAGAATGCAAGCAGCAATGCTACATCCTATGAATGGGTGGCCCGGGTCAAGGTTTGGCTTGTACAAACTGAGGATTTGCATGAGTGATACAGACCAACAGCCACCGGACACACTTGCAAAACTTTCTCGGCTGCTTTCCCTGGCACGGCTAAAACACAACACGAACCGAGCCACAGAGACCAGGACACCAATCGATTTAGGGATCCACGAGACCATGCGAAGTGCTGGCCCCTAGGTCACGAGTTTGTTGAAAAACAAAGTCGACCATCAAAAATTTGTTTTTCAACAAATTTCTTAATGCCGGGATCAGGGAAATTTGTTGAAAAACAAAGTCGCCCATGGGAAGTTTGTTGAAAAACAAGTTCGGTCAGGGCGAACTTGTTTTTCAACAAAGTCGGCTCGGAATATGTGTTCTCACCTTGACCATGGGGAGGGCCCCCACAGGGGGAACTCTCGCGAATTTTTTTTTTTGCTTTTTTGGTCGCTGGTTGAAAACCACAGCCTCGGAGCCAAACACGGGCCTGCTAGCCTTCTCATTTGGTAACCCCTGCCTATGTTTTGCATGTTTTTTTTTTTTGGTTTTGCTGTTTTGTTTCGGAAAACCTCGACCGCCCTCTCCAGACCCGACCCCCCCCGAGACACCTGCCTAGGCTTGTTCTGGTTCCGAATCTTCCAGAGCTAGGGGGATGGCCTTTGGTGCTGTGCTGTGGGATCATGCCACGAAACTGCAAACATGGAGATGGACACGGCACTGGCTTCGACTGCTGTTTCACTCAAACTCACGAAAGCTCTGCGAAAAGACAGCTCTGTATCGCTTGCAGCCGGCAAGGATTCTCCATGAGGAAGCACTATGCAAACATACAGTCCCACCCCTATCTGTGTTTGTATATAATAGAACACAACATAATAAAGTATAGTTTAAGTTCATATACGACAGCACAATATCATATGATATTTTCAATATAATTCATATAATATACTAGAATATAATATCATATAACATAATGTAATGTAATATCATGTTGTGTAGTATACTACAATATGATATAATATATAGAATAGAATATTATATAATATAATATCTATATACATACGTATAAATATATATACACACATAACCGTACACTTCGTCCTAATATCCTATCCACATCCCGGCTTCCCCATGGCTGTACAGTGTGCCGTCGGGCTGCCTTCAACATGTACACGGATCTGGCAAGCAGAAGAACTTCAGCCTATTGTCCCGCACTACAACATTTATCCCATTCTGTATAGTCCTTAAAACCACTAGATCCTGCAAGAAGCCTGCGAGCTGTGAAACATGCTCAATGCCATCGGCCGGCCACTGCATCCTGAAAGGCCTTGCTTTGCTACATCCGACACGAAACAGAACACAAAGTATATCCCGACTGCACGGAACCTCCTGACTATCATGGTTTCAAGTGAAGATCTAGGCCATCTACAGCATTTATGCAGTCGACCATGCACAAGCACAGGTATGAGGAAACACGGGCGAGGTGACCCAAAGCATCCAGGCTTATGTGTAGGCTGTATACCACATACACATGCACCCCGTCCGTGGTGTCTCCGACCACACAAGCCGACTTCTGCGACATCTTGAAGTTGCCACTGGCACAGATTTCGAAAGAGATCCCTAGCACAGTGCATGCAGCCTGCAGTTCGTGGCTTCCTGACATATCATAAGGGAGAAAGTTTATATTAGGTATGTTACATAGATACACGTGTTTAGGGTTTGGGGGGTTGGGGTTTGGGGTTCGTGCTCTGTGTAGGTTGTATATATTCGATATGTCATGGAAGCCTCTATAACTGTAGACCGACTACACCAAACATGCATCTGAAAGTGTGTGGCACACATGACTGCATGGATCTCTGGTAGATTGGCTGCAAGCACGGAACAGAGAGTGCTGGCGACCCGGGCACAACAAGCCTATATGGAAGTTAAAGCTGGAAGATTTCAGGGTGCACGGGGTTCCAAGCTAGAGCTGAAGGGCTGTATCATGCATAAGTACGTATACATAGGTCGCCCGGGCACCCAGCCGTTCACTGCACCGACCTGTCCAATATGGCCGTCATTCTGTTCATGGCAGCCAAAGCAGACCCAAGCTGCTGGATGTGCAAAGCCTGCATCTGCACTTTCTCATTGGCGGCCCTGGCTCTTTTGGCCTGCTCCTTTTGTCCTCCCCTCACTCGATGGCGATCGCGACCCTGCCCAATCCTGACTTCAGGTGATTAGTGATCTGCTTTTCGTTTTGGTTAAGAACATACCAAGCAAGACAGCAGAAAATGAAACCAACCATAGCCAAGACTCGGGTAAAAGTGGTTGTTCGGCGACAACCATCCGCCCTCCACGTAGTGGCCCTTGCAGCTGCCGTCGGAGCTCGAAGCCATCGAATCATCCCTGCCACGGTCGCCCCACTTGTTCTCTTGCTTGGCCTCGTACTTGCCCCACTTCTTCTCTGGCTTGGCCTCGTACTTGACTCCCTTGTACCAGGCAGCCGCCTCCTCGGTCTCATACCATGCCGCCCATGACTTATCATCCGCTTCTTCGGTATGGGACCACCATTCCTCCTCCTCCTTGCTCCATCCCACAGTCTCCACACCGTACTTGTTCTCCAAGTACTCTTCCTCGGGCTCGGCTTCCATTTCCTCCTGCTTCACCTCGTTGATGAGCCGCTTGCTGCGATTGGCCTGTGCATCCATGATCACCGAACGAACAGGGACCTGATGAGGGGCCGAAAACACCTATCAGTGATTCCAACAAAAGGCTCCCACAACGGCAGCAGCGAGCATGGAACAAGGTTGAACATGCGATCTCACTTTGTCTGCATGCACTGCATTCATGAAGCATGTCGGCTCCTACACAAACAGAAGTAGCACATCGCCTGCGACATGTCACCGAGAAACAACATAGACTCAATTGTCGAAATTCAAACAATGCTTCTGATGAGTTTAGCCAATCCCTCAGCATGAAAAGCACTTTTGCAACCCATCCGCAAAATCTAGCACTTACTCCACATCTTTGTCACTCGCACCTTCGGCGCCTGAGCCTTCGCCTTGCTCACCCAGTTCGGCCTGCTGGGCCGGTTCGGCCTGCTGGCCCGAATTGAGCTTTCTTTTCCTGTGTCGTCTTCCAGGACTGGCCTTAGACTTGGCCCGCTTTGGCTTCACAGGCAAAACCGGCGAATTCCGAACAGCATTGCGAACATACCGTAGATTGCCCTCAGTGAGTTCCATCCATAGATCGCCCCGGATGGCCCAGAGCAATCTGAGGGATCTCGGCTCCTCGATCACCGCCTGATCGCTGTCGTGGATGGCCGGCACTTCGACAATGACTGAACTGCCCACTAAGAACTCATCTTGTTGTTGAGCAAGTCGAATCTTTGCTGGCTTCTCTTTGTTTTCTGCTTCACATGCTTCAATGATTACTTTGCGAACTGCTGCATTGCATGCCTGCACCCTCAGCTCAGCAAGATCACGAAAGAATTCAACATTGATGGAGTGAACCGGCTTGACACCCGCCTGGTGCAGGTTGAGAGCACGGCCAGTGCAAAATTGCACGAACTCCCGGTCCCATTTCGACAGCTTCAGGAATTCCACCCCGGCCACGGTCTGAACAGATGGGAGCCATGGGTTTTTCAAGCCAGGGCCGGTGATGCAAGTGGCCTTGTAGACGGCGATTTCAACCTCGTTCTGCAATGCTTCTTCTTCTCCTTCGGCTGGGACGACCTCCTCGGCCATGGTTATGTAGAGGCAGCGAGCACGGCCCTGCTGCCTATTGCCCGCGAGCTAGAGCCCTGCAGACATTTATTCATGGATCATCGAACCGAAAGCATTCACAGCACACATGTGTGCATGCATGGGCCAGCAATCCCTGCATGTGCAAGCCAGCTTGTTATGCACATGCTCTGCATGTGCATATAACGGCATAACAGCAATTGCAAAAGAAAACGTTTTCATCAACCGGCAAAACTTCCTGAGCTCTTCAGCCTGCACCCAATCGCGATCCCGACGACATCATGCCAAAACGAGGCCCGGGGACCTCTGCATGCTTATTCTACCGTGCAATGCTCACTGAGTTCGAAGTTTCTTCGAAAGTGGTCTCAGTGCCTCGGGCTGCTCGGGTTTGCCCGTCTCCGGGCGATACAGGAGCAGCGACTGCCCCGCACTCACTTTCCTGATATTCTTCACATAAGGCAACTGGATCTTCCTATAGTCCGGAGTCAACTTCTCGGAGCCCTTGCCAACGACTTCCATGTTGGCCTCGGTCCTGTCGCTCGTTGTCCGCATGATCCATGTGGGATTCACGAAACCCTGCCCACTTCCCTGGCCATCCTTGGGGAACTGAACCATTGGCAGGATGTACAGGATGTGGTCCTCGCTGGACGTTTTGATGCACCCTGCTTTGATGGATCCGGAAGGGCTTGTGGAGCTAGAGGATCGTATGTCCAATCTCGGTGAAGTCACAGGCAGGCACAGCTTGCCTTGCCCGAAGTCCTTGCTAACTTGCACATCCCGAGGCTTCACGAAGACATCCAGGGCCGTGGCTTCGGTGAAGGCCATCCACTGCTCTCGCATCTGTAGGAGGACCACTGACTTGACACAAGAGAAGACGAAGTCCTTGGAAACAGAAGGTGCATGAGCCGACCAATCTGGCAAAGGCACGGCCTCGGCCTTTGGGACATGATGGCGCCAAAGGCCCTCGACGAACGACTGCGATGACACCCTGCATGCACTGAAATCCTGCAACACCAGATCCACGTGGTCTGCGGTCATCTTCTTGATGGTTCCCACCACCTCGTCCGCCTTTCGTATCACCATGTTCCCCACTTGGAAACCAAGCTCCTGCAGCCTCGCATCATTGACCAAGGCCCCAGTGGAATCGAATTTTCGAAGGGCCCTCGGTATGGATGAGAATGGAGATGGAAGCGAGTGAAATACCCCTATATCCAACCTTTAGCCTATATCCCAAACTCACAGACAAACTTATCCCAAACAGACGGTGTGCGAGCCGACTGCACCATCCTTCGAGGGAGACACATTCTGTGACGAGGATGCCGAGCTCACCCATGGGGATGTCAACCCCAAACCCTGGAGACAGTCGTTACAGGCCTCATATACGGTCTCCCTCTTTGTAAATTTCTTCTTTTGCAGGATCACAGCAGCCATCTCGACTTCCACTTCCGACAAAGTGGCAAACTTGACCTCTGGTGTGAGATGATTGGCGGAGTTGAGGATGCTCTGCATGTCCCTAGACATCTTTTCAGCCTCGGCTGCTTTTGCCAACATGCCTCCCTGCAATGCCTTCCTCACATCACTGGCCGACAACACTTTGTCCTGCCCGGTGAAGGCAAGCTTGAGAAGCATGTGCCTCCAGTGAACGTACTGCAGCTTGCCTTTGACCTCGCTGGACAAGGCCTGCCACATCTCAGGACCCAGCGACCGTTTGGGCTGGCCGTGCGCCCGAATGTGTCGCTCCGACTTCGAAAGGAAACTTTCGGGATCACATCCGCCTCCGCATTTGACCACGAAGGCAAATATGCCCGGTAAGGCCGATGCACTCGGTGGCCGAGACCGCAAAATCTCTGGGGCAACGTCACTGTACTGGACAGTGCTTTTGCCTTGCTTCTTCAGCATGGCATCAATCGACCTGTTGACCTTGGATGCAAGCTGTAGCTCATGCTCCACAGCGGCCACTTGGGCCGCTGTATTGCCAGCTGACTGTGCCAGGGGCACGAACTGCTCGAAGGCTTCGGTTACACTGTAGGCAATGATGGTCCATTCAACACCGTTCTTGATGGCGGTGGCCCATGCCTGGTCAAAGGTAGCCACCTTCTCCACCGACAAACGGTTGTCGATGGTGACCTTCTGGTCATGGTGCATGACTGCAGCCCTGAATGCACGAAACGTTTGGTTGCTGTGGCTCCCGACTATACTTGCATACCTGATGTTGCCCATGTCAACAGGGGCCAGTTTGGAACTGGACTCGGCCACGAGTGCCCGGTTGAATTCTCGCACTCTGTCTCCCCTGTGGTCGTCCGGTACTTCCACACAGACTGAGCGAAGTTCAGTCTCCACGAACCCTATGCTTGCGATCGATGAAATAAGGTCCTGCACGTGGGATGCTGAGACCCCTTGCCCGTCCCTGTTTTCGTAGTGCACCCCCACCAAGTCGGGGTTCAGGCGGAGGCGCCAGGCGAGGTTTCGTGAGAACAAGTGCTGCATGAGTGTGTTCATCGACTGGAGAAGGCTCCCTGCGGCAGCCTTTTGCAGCAAGTCTGCGATCACCTTGTGGTCTTCAGGAGCCAGCGACATGATGGCACCAAGTCTAAGCACTGATTAATCTCCTGCGAGCAAAGCCCTGCAGGATTTCACTTTGCGAGCCATGCCCTGCAAAGTACTACGAAATATAAAACAAAATAAAGCTGCAAAACCGCCAAGTTCCCTATCCAAACCCTACATAGGAAGCCAAAGGGTAGCCGCAATCAAAAAGACTGAGCCGAAGTCAACCCTATACATGCACATCTTCAAGTCAGCACAGCAGCCCGAAATATGCCAAAGAAATGAGATACCCCATGCAAAGAAGCCTGCAGCCACCACAACACAAACAAACCATATACTCTTTGTGCATTCAAAAAGACACGTCCCTCCACCCGAGACTACACGACCACACCCGACACAAACCCGGCACTACAACGAACCCCAGAGCCCTTCGGAAGAGAGCCGGCCTCTTCGGGCAGGCAGCCGCTGCAGGCCCGGCGAGGCACCAGGCGAAGGAGGTGGGAGGTTGGCTTCGGGGTATATATGCTTTAAAAAGTTCTAAACTCTACAACACAAAAGTCGCTCTCGAAACAGCAGTTCCTTTAAAATTTGTACAAGCAAACGAAAGCAGCAACAAATGTGTGGTTTAAATTTCGTGTGTGCATGTGTATGTCTGCCTACTTTTTCGGCTCTCAAGTTCCTTTCTTTGGCCATATTTACTGGGCGTAAATGGACTTACTACAAGTGCCCTAACTCAGTTATTGCAAACCATCTAACTCCTTATACCACTTGAAATAACTGCTTGTGTCCTGCCCCACAACTGACTTACCAGGGTTAGCTGCTAAGTACTGCAAGCAAATAGCTAACACTTAAGTTTCTAGCACAACCATTTAACACCGCAGGTAATTGAAATTTATCCACTTGCTAAATCATGTCACCACTTAGCCAGCATAGCTTCCTGCACTTACACCACTTGACACACTTGCTAACTCCACTTACACAACATAGCTATGTACTTGCTTACCGCAACAACTCGCCTTTTCCTTTACTAACCACCGCGACCCTCCAAGTGGGTCGGCCTTGGCGCCACGCAGGAACGCCCGCAACGGCAGCCTGCATGGCGTCGAGCCGCGCCAGAAGGTCATCCAGTTCCAGGGCGCAGATCTCCTCGTTGAGAGTCTGCTCTCAACGGCTTCTTGAAAAGATGCCAGCAAGATCAGGTCTGTAGCGTCCGCGCCCGCGCCTGCTTCTTGCGCGGACGCTGCCGCTCGGCGAGCGGCTGGGGGGCGCCGCTCCCGGCTGGGTCGGCCTTGGCGCCACGCAGGAACGCCCGCAACGGCAGCCTGCATGGCGTCGAGCCGCGCCAGAAGGTCATCCAGTTCCAGGGCGCAGATCTCCTCGTTGGTGGTCTCCTGGCTCCTGGGCACAGGCACCTCGACCTCCGCATGGGGTTTAGGGTTTAGGCTTTAGGCGTAAGGTTTAGAGTTCCTTTCAGGGCTCCTTGAAGGGATCGGGATTTAGGCTGTAGGACTTTAGGTGTAAGGTTTAGAGTTCCCGTAAGGGTTTTTTTAAGGGATCCTCTACGGTTCGTTAAAGGAAGCTATAAGGGATCTATGGGGTTTTGGGTTTAGGCTTTAGGCGTAAGGTTTAGAGTTCCCTTAAAGGTTCCTTTAAGGGATCCTCTAGGGGTCCTTAAAGGAAGCTATACGCCCTTTCGTCCATTGAATATGCCGAATAAGAGTCTGCTTGGGGTTTAGGGCGCAGGGGTTGCTGGTGTAGGCTTGAAGGGTTTAGACAATGCAGGAGCAGGAGGCGGCTTAGGACTTTAGGACCTAGGGTTTAGGTTTTAGGGTTAGGGTGTCGGGGTGATGGACAAAACGAAGGGAACCATGAACATGCTTCTGACCTCCTGACCGTGCTCGCAAGAAGTGCATTCATCATGCAGCGCAAAGCAGCGACCGCGACAACGAAGACCACAACCACGAATAGCACCAACAACACCAACAACCCCAACCTAAACCCTAAACCCTAAACAGCAACCTCAGAACAACAATATCAACAGCAACAGCAACAACAACGACATCATTTGGGTACGGCCCCCACTCAGTAATAGTTGAAAAATATTCATAATACAGATATATTAGGACCTTAATAGTAGCCCAATTACAGACTATTACTGTATGGGGGCAGTACCTAAGACATCACCCTCATCCTGCCCACTACCTGGCCTCGTTCCTCAGAGGTGGCGCGGGCGCGGCCGTCTCGCGCGAGTTTAGGTTTTGGATGTAGGGCTCCAGACATTGGAGTTTCCGAAAATAGGGGACCCTAATATAGCACCCTAAATAGTAGGATCCTTGTTATAAGGGCCCCAAAATGAGGTACCCCTAATTTTCGGGAACTCCCATATCGGTGTATGGGTTTGTGGGTTTGGGGCTTGAAACAAAGGCTCTGAAAGTTTCGTCGAAAGCCATGGCCAAAACAGGTTTTAGGCTTGCTACGGGTTGTACAGCAAAAACTTATAGTAAGCGCGTATACCTTGGGGGATATGGGGGTCTTCCAATTCCAACCGAACCTACTTGTCAGCAAGGTCGCTATAAACTCGATGGCTCGGCCGCCAAACCCAAAACCCCAAACCCTAAACTCTAAAGACCCTAGCCGCTATGACCTTAAACCCTATAGATCCCTTTAAAGCAACCCTTATCGATCCCCTAAACCCTCCTAAACCCCAAAGACCCCCAAAACCCGCTGAAACCGGCCAGGCCGATCTGAGACGAAGCGTTCCTAGGAACGTCCCAGCTGACTTCGGGTTTAGGGTTTACTTGGAGGGTGACTTAGAGCTCCTTAAAAGGCTCCTTCAAGGGATCTATAGGGTTTAGGGTTTAGGGTTTCCTTGGAGGGTCGGGGGACTTAGAGTTCCTTAAAAGGCTCCTTAAAGGGATCTGTAGGGTTCCTTAAAGTGATCTATAGGGTTTAGGGTTTAGGGTTTACTTGGAGGGTCGGGGGACTTAGAGTTCCTTAAAAGGCTCCTTAAAGGGATCTGTAGTGTTCCTTAAAGGGATCTATAGGGGTTAGGGTTTACTTGGAGGGTCGGGGGACTTAGAGCTCCTTAAAAGGCTCCTTCAAGGGATCTGTAGGGTTCCTTAAAGGGATCTATAGGGTTTACTGGGAGGGTCGGGGGACTTAGAGCTCCTTAAAAGGCTCCTTAAAGGGATCTATAGGGTTCCTTAAAGGGATCTATAGAGTTTAGGGTTTAGGGTTTACTTGGAGGGTCGGTGGACTTAGAGCTCCTTATAAGGCTCCTTAAAGGGATCTATAAGGTTCCTTAAAGGGATCTATAGGGTTTAGGGTTTATAGGGCCTACCTGGAGGGTCGGGGGGACTTAGTAAGTAGTTATTTTATAGACTTATAAGCTTATAAGTATCATAACCCCAATTAGGATCCCTGTTGGGGTACTTACAAGTCTACTTATTACCTACTTACTAAGTCCCCCGACCCTCCAAGTAGGGTTTAGGGTAACTGATCCCTTTGGCAGGAAAGGCCTACTTAGAGGTTCATGGGACTTAGTAACTAGGGTTATAAGGCGCTCCTTTAAAGGGTACTATAGGGATCTATAATGGGGTTCCCTTTAAGGGTCTACTTGAAGGATCGTGGGACTTAGTAACTAGGGTTATAATTAAGGTAACTACACTTATATGTACTTATAACCCCAACAAAGGTACTTATGACTGTTACTAAGTCCCATGAACCTCCAAGTAGATGTCTTTGGAGCCTGTCCTGAAACTCACTTGTGACTTAGTGCCAGGTCGGGTAGAGGGCTCCTTGCAGGGTTCTATACGTGGATCTATAGGGGTTCAGGGCTTAAAGGATCATGGGACTTAGTCACTAGGGCTATAAGTCAGGCAGCTGTTACAATTCCTTATAACCACAATTTATGTGCTCATAACTATAGTTACTAAGTCCCGTCGACCTCCAAGTATGCTGCGTGTCCGTCCCATCATCTGAAGCTGTGGGTCCAGAACCATTGGTTTGGCACAGGTTTGCGACATTCGGGATCGACCGCCGCCGATGCTGGATTCGACTCCTTCTCCAGGGCGATGCCATAGTTAAGGAACGTGCCATCCAGCAGGCGGATCCGGTCGCCCACCTGGAGAAGCGGAAGCACAGACAAGCTGTTCTTCTTCTCGAAGCGCGAGCGAGCCGGCGCGGTCATTTCGAAGAAGAACCCCGAGCTCCATCGCCTCGCAGACGACCCAGCTCCACCAAAGTAAGACGCTGCTTCCGCTCGGGCTGGCCCAAGCTCGGCCGGCACCATGGTGCTTTGTGAGGGTCGGGGTCTGGTCCACTCCCAACAGCCTGGCTTTTTGACGGGCGTCTCATGTCCGAAATCTCAGTCAGAAAACAGGAAGCACTGGGGCGGGCCTATGTTGACCGTCCCTGTGGCGACGGAACGGGGTCCCCTTGAAGTCTTGCCGCGCTTGGTCGTAGTCCGCGGGCTCAGGGAAGAGGGCCGCGGGCAACCGCCGGAGAAACCCGATGTACCCTAAACCCTAAGCCCTAAACCCTAAACCAGGGCCCCTTTAAAGGAAACCCTAAACCCTAAAGCCCCAAACCCAGCCTCCTTGGCTGCGTCGGTGGCCCCGCTGATCTCAGCTTTGGCCTCTGCTGGCGGCAGCGCCGGTGGCGGTGCGGCGCCGGCCTCTTTAGGCACTTCTAGGGCTTAGGGTTTGGGGTTTGGGGTTGAGGGTTTAGGGTTTGGGGTTTAGGGCTTAGGGCTTAGGGAAGGGCTTGGGGCGTTTTATTTGAGGGCAGAAGGGCTTAGGGTTTAGGGCCTACTTGGAGGTTCAAGCACTTTTCGGGGCCTACAGTTCATGGAAAATGCAAAGCCAGCAGGGTCTAGTGCTTAGGATATCAGGATCTCTTCGTGTTGTACTTGGGGTCGCAATGCAGGCGTTTTGTGGGTTCCCGGAATCCCTGACCCTTATCCCCACAGAAGCCCCATTATCAACCCCTGTAAGCCCTTAAAGCACGTGTTAAGCAGTTCTAGTTCTTTGCTT